CGAAGAGAAGAGGTAAGAGAAGAAGAAGTCGAATTAATCACTCTTCTCCTCTAACCCTATTTTATTAATCTCTAAAAAATTGATGATGACAAGTATACCCTTAAGTGGGCGGCCAGCTTGGCAGTTACATAAAGAAAATAAAATAAGAACAAATAACAGGCCCATTAAATGAGGCCCATCAACATAAAATAAAAGATAAAATAAAGGATATCACACAAAAGGCTGTTAGGGCCCATTCGGCCCAGTCTCTTTACAGGATTTTGCATTTCTCTCCATGAGTGGATATATATTTATATTCTATTTCTCTAAGATATTATATTGATTAGCTTAGGAGCCATGATACCCAGATACAGCAAGGACATAGCTTGATATGTTATTGGATTTTGAAATTCATAGTATTGAAGTATTTGACACAATATGGCATCCCTATACAGGTATCCGAAGATCATAGTTATGTTATTTTTGTAACTTATCTTTTAGCATCCCTTTCTATCTGGGTGCTACAAAATGCCAATTTTAGATATATATTTATTTCTTGCACATAAGTTACAGTTGTGTGCCATAACTTGGCGAATGTATATGTTTTTACTCCTGTTCAAACATCTTGCAGATTTTCAATGATAAGATGTTGAAGATTAATGTTAAGAGATGCATACGTACAGCCATCAAACTTCGAAAGAAATACTTGTACAAGGTTAGGTATTTGGTTATATAATTTTTTGGTTTTGCATATCATGTCCACTTAGTTGTTCACCTTATACTGCAAATTAGGTTTGATGTGATCTTACCTTTTCTATTTATTCTTTTGTCTGTTCACTTGTCTTTACTTGAAATAAAGCATTGTGTTGTTCACCACAAGTTATGATAGTGTCACATATCTCGACTGCAAGTTTATTAAAGAGCCATATATATATATATATATATATAAAGCCATTACCCAGTGTTGGTCCCAGCTATCTGGGCTCTGGGATCTTGGGAGGGATGGACTGGATATGTTCCTAACCTTTGGCATTTTACTTTGCACAAAGTGGCCATTCTCAGATTTGAACCTGTGTTCTCACCTGAGATTTTACCATTACACCAAGTCTTCAAGGTATATGACCAAAAAAATTGCACCAAGGGAGTTATATTAGCTGTCCTAATTGTCATCTTATTTTGGACGGTCAATATATACATGAGAATGTTTGAAAAAGTATTATTTAACAATTTGGTTCATCTACAAGGTCTGCAAAAATTGTTGGCTATGGATGACTGAAGATAATCCATCAGTTAGATGAGCACTGGGAATTGGGACCATTAACTAATTATTGCATTGAGATGTGAGGCACTATTGTCTTTTGTGAATAACCCCCATGCTATATATCAGAGAAAGCATTCTAAAACTCCTCTCCTTTCTGATACAGCTGATGAAGGTAAAGAGCCTAGCCAGTTCAGAACAATGACAGTTCATTTTCTGCTCCAATGATAGCTTTGTAATTGGATTAGAAGTTTTACACTTCTCCATGGTGGTGAAATTCTGGGCTGATACCCAATAATTGAAGTTTTTGAAGTCATGTTCAAAATATCCCTGTCATTTATATTGGAGGATGTAAAAGAAAAGGGGGCTATGCAACACAAAGACATCTCCAGTTATTTGATCCACCAATTCTTTTTCAGCCCTAGTTTGAGGTGAACCATTATCTTTCTTTCCTTTTATTCTTGTTAGTGTGATAATATAACTATATAGAAGGAAATTGTAAGGATCACCATTTAAATGTCATACTGATTGGTTTAGATTGGATTAGATTGACACAGATGGTTAATGTTTGATTGACTTAAAAAACAAGAGTACAAAGATAAAGATCCACTACCCAAGAGCTGGGAGCAAATGTGTTCAATTTTTTTTTAAGCCCATATCATTTCAAGGAATATGAAATGATAGACCATAGAAAGAATTACAATTAGAAAAATCTGTCAAAAAACAGGATGCTGGCAAGCTAGGGGCCAAACCAGACTCCCATAGAGAAGATTCACAAATTTGGAAGTGATGAGGGTGAAACGCTTGCAAATGTGAAATAGTTTCAGAGGGTAATTGGGGGGTTATTATATTTATGCATGACCCATCTAGATATTGCTTATGCAGTTGGAGTCCTTAGCCAATGTATGCATGCCCCCATTGCCCCCAAAACCTCACATTTTGTAGGCTGCTAAAAGAGTTCTTAGATACTTGAAAAAAAATCCTGGAAGGGGTCTTCTATTTTCCAAGCAATGACCACTTGAGGGTAGAAGTCTACACAGTTGCTGACTGGGCAGGATCAGTTGATGATAGGGAAGTCTACTAGTGGTTACTGCACCTTTGTGGGGAATAATCTTGTTGCCTGGAGAAGTAAGAATCAGGGAGTTGTTAATAGATCAAGTGCTGAAGCGAAGTATAAAGCCATGGCTCATGGAGTAGCTGAAGTGATGTGGATGAAAATTTTGCTAGGTGAACTTGGGTTTGCAGTAAACAGTACCTATGTCCTTGCATTATGACAATAAAACAGCTATCAAGATAGCAGCTAATTCAGCTAAACATAGTGAAGTTGATTAAGGACTTTATCTAGGAAAACCTTGAGAAAGGAGAGGTGATGTTTTCACGAAGGGGCTGAGTACTTTGTGGCATGGTGAAATAACTAAGAAGTTGTTTGTGATTGATTGACATCTATTATCCAACTTGAGGGGGAGTGTCATTATATAGAGTTTTGTGCCCCAGGGATAGAAAAGTCATTTAAATTTATTTTATGTAATGCTGATGCAACCCTAGTATAAATAATGAAAGGGACACCGCCAGCCCCAATCTTTTGAACTCCTAGTTTTTGGTTCTTCCCCTTCTCTTTTTTAATGGTGATGTCCTATTGTCAGAAAACTTTCTGTCTTCCTATCCATATTTAATGAAAGAGCAAAACAGGCATTTCAATATTTCTATCCACATTTAATAGTGATGTTCTATTGTCAGAAAATTTGAAGGTACTTAAAGTAATTTTTAAAATATTGAGGGTGCAGTTGATCAATTTCACAAACCCAGGGGTACTTTAAGTATTTAACCCATTGCATACAGCCATGTACAACCAACAGATTCTTTTCTATTAGGCATGATTCACAATATTGGCAAGAGTTAGTGAAATATCATTTAAATCTTCCTATTTGTTAGGTGCAAAAAGAAGTTTTCAAAAATTCTCAGATATATTGTTGATATCTCAGTGGAATTTCAAATTTCATTGGTAGACTATATATTTAAGGTTTAAAATTTTAGAATATCATTAAAATGCTTTTAATATTTCATTAAAATTATCGTATTTTTTTAAAATATTTTCCTAAAAGAATAAATGAGGATTCGATGATTAGATGATTTTCTGACTATTCTAATATGATTCACTTGCTAAGTCAAAATAATTCAAAAGAGAAAAAAAAAGAGGAACACAACTACAAAAAAGATATTTTCTATCTAATAAAAATGTATAATAACGGAAAAGGTCAAAGTCAAAATGGCAAGTAATCAGCATATTTAAAGGAGAGAAGATGATTAAAAGACAAAAAGGAAAACAAAGAGAAAGATACATTTCCGAGTCATTCTTTCATTTAATTTTTATAGTTGTTTGCTATATTTTTTTAGCCTTAAATATGCAATTCCTAGCAATTTTTTGAAAGCTTACCAATTCATTCCATGTTTTTAGAAAATTTTCCTTATTTTTAGGTTTTCTAAATATCTTAGAAAAATATCCCCAAAATTTTCTTATATCTTTCTCTAGATGGAAAACGCCCATTGGTATTGAAATTACAACAGAATCTTTCAAGGAAAGGGAAGAAGCCTCTTAGAAGTTAAGGATTGCAATTTGACTAGGGTAATACATTGGCTGAGAACGACTACTTTGTTCCAACCTTTCTCCTTTAATGACTTCTGGAGAGATTGGTTAGCAGTGGCTAGAAGTTCTTTCTGCAAGGAGATTTTATTGCAGATTGGGTTTGTCCTCCTGAAGGATTCATTAAACTGAATTTTGATGGAAACCAAGGTAACCCTGGCCCTTCAGGTATAGGAGGGGTCTTGAGAGATAAGGAATTTTGATGTTAAACTGCAAGGAGAGATAGTTTGGTGCTTCAGGACCTTAAGAGAGTGTTTTGGCTAACAAGGAATAAGACTGTAAGGAGTCCAATGGGTACAAAGGTTGGCAAATTTTCTGGCTTCTTATGTAAACACAAAATTCCCAGTTCTATTCTTTTTATTTTTTTTTTCTTTTCTTTTGTTTTTTTCTAAATTAAGGCCATATCTTACACTGTTTTGTTGTTTTGAAGCCAGTGAAGGGTCTCAACAAGTGGAGATGCTTCCTCCTGGCTGCAACCAGGTATTATCATGGGAGCTGCAACAGCCCCACGGATGCCCCCTCAGTGATCAGATGGAAAATAGCTCACCACCAATAAATATTTATTTTTCTTTGTTGTATCTTGAAAGGGAACAATGGTCAGTTTTGATTGATTATCCTTTGTATATGTCTATATAAATACCAAACTTTGAATGAAAATTGTTGGAAATTCCAACTAGAGTGTTCCACTTGGAAATTTTTCTAACCAGTCCCTCATTTTTCACAATGGATTGAGATTCAGTGAAGCTGCTTCAGCCTTAAGAGAATTGCTGCATTGGATTCAAATCCTCTGAAAACAAAGACCCAGATTAGTGAGTTCAACCCCATTAGGGAAGCCTAGACTGAATTTGCCAATCAAAATTGGACATTTCACCCATATTTTAATTTTGATGATTTCCTGGTGTCTCTTATAATGTGGAGTTTGAGGTTCTCTTGAAACATGAGTAATGTTTGGCCTAGGCTGTGCACGTGCTATGAAATCCAAGCATACATTGCACGAGTTGTGTCTCTGAGACCAGGTATTCAGCTGGTACTTTGGCTAATGGATGTGACCCAGATATCTGAGAATAAAATCCACCTGGAGTAGATCAAATGTTTTGTATGATCTGACAGAATTTTTGGCATTAGGAGGCCTGCATGGGTATAGATGATTCCTCACATCATTAATCTGTTTACCATCTCTTTTATCTTGTTGGTTTGAGAACATATTTCAAATGACTTTATTTGTGAACAATTAAACAGGTTACATGTGCTTATTTTTCCTCCTTGAGATAACCATAACCATCCTATTAATACATCATCTCTTCCTTTCACTTTCCATTGGGATTGTCCTTGTTGGTAAACCGGCAATTCCGGCGTATCTCCCCCTGAGTTCCGGTCAAGACTCCAAGGCTTCCCATCCGGCTCATCGACAGGGCAAATGATTTTCTAAAATCTTCAAAGCCGGCAGCAAATTCCTCGGTGATCTGAGAGGTGTCATTGCCAAAGAGTAGTTGCTGATCAACTCCAAGGATGGATTCATTTCTCAACACTCGGGAGTAGTAGGAGTTGCTGAAAGTGTACTTTGAGCCTGACTGTGGGTTCAGAAACACAAGTGGGTCATGTTGGCCTTTCCTGGTCTTGGGCGGGCATTGCTTCCTCAGTTGGTCTAACAAGGATTGCTTCATGCTTGGGTCCGGTTTGCCGGTGTTGTTGAAATTGTAAAGCCGGTCGAGTATGTAGCGGCAATGAGTTCTGCCCATTGTATGTGCACCTGTTCCATGCCAAGAATGTTTATTTACATAATTTTAGTCATGACCATGGTCCATGGAAGAAGCCTTTTTATTGAGTAAACATTTCCAGAGTTCCCTGAGGCAATTCTACTCAACCAAGTGGCAATGGTAGCTAGTGTTAAGAGCATGGTTTTGAAAACCGGACTGGACCGGATAGTCAGACTGGTTGACCCAGGAACTGTCCAGGTGGCCAGTTCCATTTCATCCTAAAACCGCTCTTGGGCCAAAAATTGTTGACTTGGTCAGTAATTCACTGACCTGGGCGGTTGAACCGTTGACCTGGACAATGATTTTTTACCTTTGAAAGAGGCTGAACCGTTGAAAGAGGCTGAAGCAGACAGCCTTTGAAATGACTGACAGCTGATTTGGCTCCCTGGATTTTTCACCAAACATAGTTTATAGCCTGTGCATGTGGCACCCACTTCAGAAAGTGACTCTGCACTTCGGTCCTCCCAAATGGGTACAAGATTCTTTTCAGATATCTGTTCAAATTTAAGGTCCCTTTGGTTGGCAGTTGGACTTGTAATCAAATGAGATGGAATGAATTCTCATTCCCAAGAGAGGGGGAGGTGAGGGAATGACCATTCCATCAGAAACAGAAATAAGATTCCAATTCTGCCCAACCAAACGGTTGGACCATTTCAATTCTAATTATAGGCCCCTATTACTGTGAACCAAATGAACCTTTATTATCAATTTTCACTAAAAATATAATTAGTAAAAAATATGGTTAGGGAAAATTTTCTCTTTTTTTCTTTCTTTAATAAAGTTTTAGAATTCTTCAATTTCAAACATGTATTTATTCAATCCCTGTTTCCTAAAAAATAAAAAATCAAAATAAATACAATGTTGAGAAAATAGGTTGATGGTTTTGAATGTTTTGAGGGTCAAGTTGGATGGTTAAACCACATGAACTGCTGAACCGGACCCAAAGCAGTCTTGAGTCTTGTCCAATTTTCAGCTTTCCAGACACTATTTGCTTTTCTCCATGTCCACAATTTTCAAATTAATACTTGTATTATGGTAAAATAAGATAGAGGGGTTTCACAGTTATCTTTACCTAAGAGAGTTGTCAGGTCCAATACATCTAAACCTTTGGATTGGAAGTATGCTAGTGCTGATTCCCATGAGATAGACGGTGATGGAAGGTCAACAGATGCAGCACTTGACGTGAAGCCGTCCCTTCTTCCGGTCAGAACAGGGTAAGATGGTGCTCCTGCCTGTTTTTAACAGTATTAAGCTTTTGAAAATGAGATTAGCGTAAATAACACTGTCAATTTTATTCAATACTCAGAAAGAACTAAATCATCATTCCTTAAACAAGCAACAAGCTTGAATAAGAGATCATATAGGAATATTCTTTGGATGCCCATAGGCCATAGATATATTGGAAAAATTAAAAGAAAAAGAAACACATTGATAAAACTAATTTGAGTCTCAAATGATTATATTAAGGCACATCTATGTGGATTTTGCCCTGGGTTTTGTGCAGGTCAAAAGTTAAATTTAAATATGATATATTAATACTTGTACACATGCATAAGCACTTGTTCTTAAACTAGTATATATAATATATACAAAAAAAAATATTTTTTAATAGTTTATGTAAAATATAAACTAGGGTTTTTTTGTCAGAACGGGCCATCTGTTCACCTGTTCGACCTGGGAACTGAACCCCTGACCGGTTCGTTATCCGTTCTAACAAAAAAAATAAAAAAAAATTACAAAGATTAAAAAAATAAAAACGGCTAAAATTATTGGATGAATCAAATGGTTTGACCGCCTGGGTCGGCGGTTTGCTGACCAAATCAATAATTTTTGACGAAATAACAGTTCTGGGGTAAAACGGAGCCGATCACCTGACCTGTTCCTGGTTTTTCTGGTCTGACTGGTCCGATCCAGTTTTGAAAACCATGATATAAACCACGAATATATGAAAAGAAACATTGGAAATGGTACAAGTACTAAACTATGACTTAAATTTAAAAAAAAAATACCAATTTTAATGATCAATTAATTTTTTCTGGTTGATATTAATAAGACAAAGTAGACAAAATGACTTAGAAAGTTAACTTAAAACAAAAGTCAGCATTCCGACAAATTTTGGTATCATAAATTAGTGGAAGAATTTCTCTTTTACTTGGATGATTTGTTTGAGTCATGGCAAATTAGCAAAAATGGTTATGGATTTGTAATAGTTAAAATGGATGTGTAATAGTTAAATTAGTGGAAGAATTTCTATTTTACTTGGGATGATTTGTTTGAGTCATGGCAAATTAGCAAAAATGGTTAAACATGGTTTATAATGATTGAATGATGGTTTGAAGCTGTCAAACATTAGCTTGTCTTCAAGTGGGTGGAAGGTTTTAAGAAGCTTCCCCCACAAAAAAAAAAAAAAATTGAGGATATTTTTTCTACCATAAAAATATTAATAGTCAATTAATCATAAGCTCTTCTGTGGCACATGCACCCTTGGTTTTTTATATTTTTGTGCTTACCCACCTACTGTTTCTTGAGTTTCTTCTTGGTCTTTTGTACTTATGCCCCTTAAATGTATCTTTAGAATCCATGAATTCATACGGAAATCAAAAGTGCATGCAAATCAATTGATAATAAATAGAAAAGAGAAATCAAAACATAATTATATAATATTAAAGATAATAAATAAAGAAAATACCTAATTAAAGAGATACTCCAAATCAATTGATTATATAAAAGAGAAAAAAAAAAGTAAAGTAGAAAATATAACATAGAAAAAAGAAAAGCAAACAGCAAGCAAAAATCCGAATGGTGAATTAGGACATGAAGTGGAAGGGGGATTCTTTTCCTCTGTGTGTATGTCAGAGAGAGAGAGAACCAAAAAGGCTCTGGGGCCTCTCTACCCCAAATTAAACCAAAGAAATGACTGAAAAATAAAATAAAGGGAAAAAAAGGAAAAGAAAAACTACTTAAAACTGGTCATTGTTGAACTCGGCAGCAGTTCATGCAATTTTCTCGATTGAGTCACCCCGGTTCAAACACAATTTGATTCAGCATCCAAAGTTAGCTTAGGTTAGTAATTAAATTTAAACCCATCCAACCCAATCATGCAGTCCAGTCTGGTTCAAAGCAAGGTTTTTAAAACCGACGTGGAGAACGAATTGGTCAGGGGTTTGGTTCTCGGGTCGAATGGTTCGAGCGTTCGAACTAAATGGTTGGCTGTTCTAACAAAAAAAAATAAAAAATGATCAAAACCATTCGAACAATTAATCGCCCAGATCAACGGTTTACTGACCAAAATCAATGGTTTTTGAAGAAAATCCGGTTTTAGAAAACCAAAACCGATCACCTAATCGATTTTCAGTTTTTCCAATCCAACCGTCCGGTCCAATCTGGTTTTGAAAACAATGGTTCAAAGCATTGCATGAAATCACGACTGATCGATCAAAAGCAGTGACCAAAATATAATAATACGGAGGAAACGGGCAGAAGATTTACGAGATTAACGGCATCTCTGGTGGCAAGGTTGAGGATATCAGCACAAGAGACGACTCCAGGGCATCTTGCTTCTACCACCTCCTTTATATTATCAATCAACACAAATGCCCCAAGCCCCACATTTTGTGCTGCTGTCTTCTCAGAATTGGGTCCATCCAGCAGTATCGATGCATCGCAGCCCTACATAAGGCATCAATCAAGACAATATAAGCATTATCACATATCCGATCTACCATCTCATCTCAAATTAACCACTTGACACTGCCCATAATGCAGTTGTCATTCATGGGAGATGTTTTCAATGTACAGTTGTAGCCTCTTCTGGGTAGATGTAGGTGGCATCTTTGTGGGTAGCAGATCTGAGATCTATCTTATGAGTATGTGTGAATATTGTCTTTGTGGTAATAGATTCAACCTCTAATATAATGGGTCTCTCACAACTAAACTATTTAAGATTTACAACAAAAATAAGAACAATTTTCCCAATGAAATTTTTTGTTTGACAGATATATCCATATAATTTAAATCAGTTTGCAAGTAGAGAAAAGTGGTTATATGAGCAATAGGGGTGCTCACAGTATGGTTAATTGAACGTGGGCTAATTTTTGAAATCGAACTGGGGTTATTAGTTTTTAGAAAACTGAAAATCGAAACTGAATCGAAGCCGATCAGTTAACCAGTTGACCGGTTTGGTTCATCGGTTTTTTGGTTTTTTATTATTTATAATATTTATTATAGAAAAATATATAAATATATAATAAAATACTATAAATATATATAATATTATATTTTAAATAATAAATAATATATTATATATTTATATATAATACATATTTATTAATATACAATGTATAGAAAATATAAAATATATAAATATACATAAAATATATATAAATATATGTATACCGGTCAGTTCGGTTAACCACTGGTTTTCTATTTTGGTTAACCAAAACCGAACCGGTACCTTAAATATTGAACTGAAACCAAACCGATCAATTTGATTAATCAAATTTTTAGTTCGATTTCGGTAGGTTTTTTCGATCGGCTTAGTTTTTTGTCTTTTTTTTTTTCTCACCCCTAATGGGCAAACATAATTTACTACTATAATATTATCCTAGATGTAGGTCTCGCTCATAGGCTGACATGGCTATATTGCCATTGGTACAGTATCGTTTGGTTCCCAACGAGGAAGGACAGATATTTATACTACTACTAGCAACCAAGGAGGAAGGACCCATTGGATTTCGACCTTATATTCACATTTTTTCAAGGTATGCATGCAACTTGAGTTTGGTTGGGTTAAGCATTTCTCAAATTTTGAATGGCCCAATAAACTCGATCGATGAGTTTGAAATTCTTCAATTCAGTCACCCCGAGTTGCATCCATAATTTCCCTCAACTGATGCTGTAATAGGGTTTTTGAACTGAAATTTCTTCCACAACAAAGGGCGAAGAGATATGATGATCATTTGGAGTTCTTTATGGCCTTCAAACAACATTTTCTCCCTTTAATCGATTTTGTTTTACCCTTAATCTGATTCTTGACCAAAAATCATTGAATCAGTTAACTATTCGTTGATCCGGTCGATCGATCCATCAACCCGTTCAATAATTTTTGGCTGTTTTTATTTTTAATTATTTTTAAATTTTTTGTTAGAACAGACCATCCGTTAAAACCGGAAGATCGAACCGTCAACCCAGAAACTAGTGGCCAAAACGGTTCCATTTTCGGATCGTTTTTTAAAACTATGGATATAACACAATAAAAACAGCTTCTAAAAAAATGAAAAAAAAAAAATCCGGAATACAGATATTTGTAGCACGTACCGTTACAAAGCAATCGGAATAGAGCAATCTAAGGAGTTTCGGTGTGATGGACCGATCCTTGGTCCAGTATGACTTCACCTGGTACTTGATATATACCTCGACATCGTCGCACAGGTGGTTTTTCTTGTAAAACTGACGCACCAGCCGCGTCACCGGCAGCGTCACCGCCGGCTCCGGTATCATGGCATACACGTGTGGTAGACACGTGCATGCCAAGAGAAGCACAAGAAGCACAAAACCTTCTCCTCTCATCCTTGAACCAAACATTTACCACAATGGGCTGGGCTGCATCTAAAAACCCAAATGCTAAGCAGGAAAGAGCTCTCGGCCTCTCACTCTTTATATAGGCCATTGCCATTGGTGGACTTGTGGTGCCATGAGGCATATCCTACCAATGCCAACTTGGCAATTCTGGGAATAATATTTATTTATTTATTTATTTTATAATTTTAATTTAATTAATCATCCTTGCATTGCGGCACGTGCGAAGGGTAAGGGGAATCACGTGCGCCGAGGCCTTCAACATTCCAAGGCGTTTCTAGCAAGGGTTGTGGCATGTGACCCGCCTGGATGGATGGTAAAGTAAAATGCTTGCTGCGGTGAGGGTAGTTTGGTCATTGTGACAATAGTTGAGATTTGATTTAGATATTTGTGTCATCGTATGTGGCCTGGTCTCACAATTCTACACCAATCTCCGAACCAAATATCCGTTTTACCCTTGTAATTGTCAAACAATAACGAGATTAACCTTGTACTTTTTAAAAAAATTTTCTCCGGTACGCGTAAACGTCACCGTGCCGTTGTCACTTGTCGGCTTCGAGAGAAAAGAGGTGTACGTAAAAACAAATCTAGGGTTGCAGCATGGTTGGTTTCGTTATATGATACTACACGCATACACAAGAATCTATGTTTTTCAATGTGAATTCTCAATCTTGAGGGGTTCTAATTACCGATCTGGGCCGTTGATCAAAGCGACCCCACAATGCTGTAGATCCACTGGTGTCCATTGCATGCGTCCTATCTTAGCTTAATAAGCTACAATCTATCTGATTTGGCTTTCATTACAAGCAAGAGGGGTTAATGACCCACTTGTGTTCCAAATGGGAGAGGCTACAACTGTAAAGGATATTGGTATTTTAGGGTTTAAGCAGAGTATAATTGTGATCCTTCCTTCCTGTAATGTAATGTTCTGCTAAGCATCATATAGACATACTGTACTGTACACGTAAACTTATGGGAGGCAAACGATGTTGACGGGGGACTGACAAATGGACGGCAGGCGGCACGAAAATCGATCATAAGGCTGTGTTTGATTGCAATGCAAATAAATTTGCACTAGTACATGGCATTCCATGGTATTATGATCTCATTTATGTCTTGATAAATGATTTATTTGGGTAAATGTACTTATTTAGTCAAGTGTTTCTTGGGAAATATTTATATGAATAAGATCACTTACCTCTTATTCCCTAGGTAAAGATGTACAATGACTGATTTATGTAAAAAAAATAACATTATTGAAGGGATAATATTGTCCCATCACATATTAGTAATTTCTTTTTATGCGTATGGTAAGTAATTTACCCAAATTTAAAGAGAGTATTGCTTCCCTAATAAATGAACTACCCAGAAATCATTCTTTCCATGAGACCCACTAATTACCAAAAAAACAAAGGTGGAGTTTATTTCTTTTTCCATGAGAAACTTACCTGCGAGCCCTATATGTATGTTAAATTATATAATACAAACAAAAATTGAGCAGTACATTGAGAACACACCTAGATCCGAATTCCATGTGTGACTGTTGGATGCTCATGCTTTCAGAGTTTTTGCTTTTAAGATTAGAGTAGTTGGATTTGGAACACACCTAGATCCGAATTCCATCTGGTTTTATAACTTCTCAATTGAAATTCTGGTATCTAAACCAACTTCACTCGTAATTAATTAATTATTCATTTGATTTCATTATATCCAACCCGTTGGTAGCCCTACTTGGTTGACAACTTGAACGAAGAAATTGCTTATAACTCGAACTCAGGTGGTGACTCAAAAGGTCAGACACCCTAAAAGAGTTTAAGATCGAATTGCAATATTCTGTTTTGGGAGGGTTGAAGTTCTGATTGAGCTACTTTCAGCCTTTGCTTTCCACTGAACTGCCTTGGAGAAGACATCAAAGAAGCTTTATAGAAAAGTCTTTTTTTTTTTTTTTTGCTGTAAAATAGCTTATTTTGGGTTTTATGGCATTTTGATCAAACATTGCTTATAGGTTGTCTGGATGGTGCCCGCTTTGTAAAGCCATCAAAGTCCTCTCAAATGGGCACTGAGTCATTTTGGAAAAACCACTAAAAAAAGCTTTTCAATATGCTGTTCGAATTGGGGCTCGCCGCTCACCTTGCAAAGTCAAAAGCTGTTATAGGAATGCCCTCCCAAACAGGTACTAGTGACTTTTGGTTTTAAGAGATGGGGTCACCCTAAGAATTCCACAATTAATTTCTGATTAAAATTAAAAAACAAAAATCAGAGAGTCAAATTTGATCATGTGTACAGCCATAAAATCCTCTCTCAATGGATTTTTCAGAGCATCTGAACCAAATATCAGGGCAAAAAATACACCTCCCTCTCTGAAGCAACGTATAGGCAAAAAGAAAGTTTTATCCCCTGTGGGCATGTTTGGACTTTGGAGCATTAGAAGTAGAAAGGATCACGGGTCTTGTCCTTCACGGTTGTAGGATGTTTTCACTCTTGTCCTTCTTGATTTAAGGGTTCTATAGCAGATAAGGATGCAACCCTAGCATTTGGCCATTTGCTTGTTAAAATTTACAATTTTAAGGGTTAATTGTATTTGGAAGAAATCAAAAAGTCTATAACCATAAGTCGGGGAAGGGTGCTAAGAAAAAGTGGACCCAATTCCATTTGTCTGTTACTAATATACTATACAAAGTGTGTATTTGTCTTTATTCCCATAAAATCCATAAAAATTAAATTTCTTAATTTGCACTATATCATACATATAAGTTATTTTTTTTATCTTATAGACATGCATAGCATGTAATTTTACACTAGTATTGTATAAATTAAATTTCTTATATCTTCGATTCTTTACCTTTTACTTGCACTTAGGGGTGGCCACGAGCTGAGCTCTTCATGAACTATTTGAGTTCGGTTCGGCTCGGTTTCAACCAAATTTCGAGTTGAACTCGAATAGCTACATCATCATCATCATCATCATCATCATCATCATAATAATAATAATAATAATAATAATAATAATAATAATAATAATAATAATAATAATAGTAATAATAATAATAATAACTAATTATTATTATATAATATTTTTATTTTTATATATAATAATAACTAATTATTATAATTCTTAATTTTTTAAATATCAAATAAAAATAAAATATTTTTATATATAATTTTTTTATTTTTATAAAACATTTTTCTCAATTCGAGCCTGAGCTGAGCCGGGCTCGAGCTTTTGACTCAAGTCGAGCCTGAGCCGAGCCGGGCTCGAGCTTTTGACTCAAGTCGAGCTTGAGCTCGGCTCGGCTCGAATAGCTAGCTATTCGGCTCAGCTTGGCTCGGCTCGAATCCATCCCTACTTGCACTTGTGTAGAATTTGTGTGCTTTTACTAGTTTTATAAAAATAAATTGTATTAGATGAAAAAAAAAACCTAATATTTTCCAAGTAAGCAAAATGATAGCATACTTCCCAAAAAACGCTATTTGTACTAATGGATTGAGTTAAGGCCCCATTCCTTTACACTGTACAAGTGAAGGGGAAAGTTGGTGAATGGACTGCATTTTTTCTCTGAAAAATGTAGGATTCATGGAAAATGCATTTTCTCTTTGATAAAATTTTGGCCCATTTATCCTAAGTTTTCTCCTTCTCCCAAGTAGATAAATCACTCTCCCATGGAGAGGGGAAAACTGCCCAAACTGTTGTATAACTAAAATGCTCCTTCCAACACACAAAACGCAAGAACAAACATCAAACATGGTGACAGGAAAATATATTCCTAGCAAAAGAACACATTTAAATGCATTTGCCAAGAAAAGTGTTAACAGGATAAAACTTCCACTAGTAAATGTGTTCTCAGCAAAAGAACAAGGTCCACATCTTTGAATAATATATAAAACTAGAGAATGACCCCGTACTAAGTACGGGGCAAGTATTTTTTGATAATTTTTATTTTGTTTAAATAAAAAATGTAAATTGTATTATTATTTCTTTATTTTTTAAAGATTATCTGTATTATAATATTTAATTAATTAATTATTATTGTTATTATTAAGTATTTAATTAATGATTTTATTATCATAATAATTATTATAATTAAAATTTTTACTATAAAAATTTAAAGATTAACCAAAATGTAATATTTACATAATTATTTAATTAAATATTAATATTATTTTTAATTAGTAGTGGTGATGATTATTTTCTTACACTTTTCTTAATAGTCAGTATTTAATTACTAAGTATTGTTGTTATAATAGATTTTATAATTACACTAAATTTTGGTAATTTACATAACTTTAATGCACAATCAGTATTTGAAGTTTACTAAGTTATCAAAAATTAAATTAAAAAACCTAATATGGGTCTTATATCTATGTAAGTGGTAATCTATTCTAACCTATTTTATTTGAGACCCACTATTAATTTATGTTTTTTTAATTTGATTAAAGATATTAAATGAGATCTTATTGGTAAACAATAACCCACTTTATTTGGTATTTACTATTTATCTAATAAATCTATTTTGAGTTATTTATTTTTAAAAGTTAAATTAGGTTGCTTCCTAAAAGTTAAATCAAAATTATAATTAATTAATAAAATATTTTCTTTTTGAAAAAAAAAATCATTTAAAAATAAACGTGGGTTTGTGATAGACTTTTAATGGGTCCCACCACTTGTATTTAATAGACTATGGATAAACATGTGTTAAGCTAATAAATAACTATTATTGAAAATGTTTAGGAGTGAAACTACTCACTTTTTGAATCATATTTCTTGAATTAATAAGATGTCTTGTGTCTGAATGGTGATAGTAGGTTGTGGGCTTTAACAACAACTTCTCAAAAAATGCCATGTATCTATCTTTTCTAGAAAAATGAGAAGGCCACATGTCTGAATGGTGGGGGGCTATAGCCTAGTAGTGGATTGTGGGCTTTAGCAAGAATTTCATAGAAATTGCCATATGTCTAACTTTCCAAAAAATGAGAAAGCCACGTATTGAATGATGGGGGGCTATAGCCTGAAAACCTTCCTTTAATATAAATATATA